AGCTGGGATTACAGGCACACGCCACCATGCCCAGCTAATTTTTTGTAGTTTTAGTAGAGACGGGGTTTCACCATGTTGACCAGGATGGTCTCGATCTCTTGACCTCGTGATCCACCCGCCTCGGCCTCCCAAAGTGCTGGGATTACAGGCGTGAGCCACCGCGCCCGGCCGATGAATATATTTAAAAAATCTCTGACATTATTACATGGATTAAGAAGATTCAGAGACATGAACAATATTGTTAATATTGAAACATTCTCTAGATATTAAGAATGCAGGCCACTTTATGACTTTAAATTTAGTGGGTAAGTCATCAGAAGAGTTTGATATCGTTCACGGTCGTTAAATCATGGTTCGGATGGAGTCCTTATTTAGCTAGTGAGAACATCAAACAATCACTCAACAACTTCCAAATATTAATAAATGACTTAGAAATCTTCAAAGTAATTCAATAAATCATGTGTGCTACATCTACAATGAGTTGGTAGGAAATCTTATGGCAAGTGCTATTTGGTTTATTCAAAAAATAAAATGTTAAACTTTATATGTTAGCATATAATGTTGTTAGATGTTGCCTATACTGTTTATATTAAATATTATTAAATATGTTTCACATCCCAAATAGAAGAAAGATTTGGTTCCTGTCCTCAGTAGCCCCTCAAGGATGAATACTGTTTCAGTATCTATCACTGTTTTGCAAAACTTAGTCACTTAAACAAAAAAAAAATTTTTTTTTTTTTTTTGGAGACGGCATCTTGCCCCATCGCCCAGGCTGGAATGCAATGGCACGATCTTGGCCCACTGCAGCCTCCGCCTCCTGGGTTCAAGCAATTCTCCCACCCCAGGCTTCTAAGTAGCTGGGATTACAGACGCCCACCATCATGCCTGGCTAATTTTTGTAGAGACAAGCTTTCACCATGTTGGTCAGGCTTGTCTTGAACTCCTGACCTCAGGTGATCTGCGTGCCTCAGCCTCCCAAAGTGCTGGGATTACAGGCGTGAGCCACCGTGCCCGGCCAACATTTTTTAAAAAGATTGTTCATAGGCTGGGTATGATCACTTACACCTGTAATCCCAGCACTTTGGGAGGCCAAGGTGGGAGGATCATTTGAGCCCAGGAGTTTGAGACCAGCCTGGGCAGCATAGCAAGACCCCATCTTTTAAAAAATAATTAACTGCTGGCCAAGTGTGGTGGCTCACGCCTGTAATCCCAGCACTTTGAGAGGCCAGGGTGGGTGGATCACCAGGTCAGGAGTTCAAGACTAGCCTGGCCAATACGGTGAAACCCTGTCTCCACTAATAATACAAAAATTAGCTGGGTGTGGTGGCACACTAGTACCAGCTACTCAGGAGGCTGAGGGAGAATTGCTTGAACCCATGAGGCAGAGGTTGCACTGAGCCAAGACCGTGCCACTGCACTTCGACCTGGATGACAGATCGAGACTCTGTCTCAAAAAAACCCAGCTTTGTTTAATAGTGCTAGGCCAGACACTAAGACTATCATGATGGAGGCATGGACAATAAATGTTTCCCAGGAGAGCTATGTGGGTAGGAGGTTGGCTCTGTCAGTCAGAGTTCAAGATCAGCAAAAAATAACTGACAGCAGAGGTTATGTGAGATGTCTTGGAGAAATATTAATGCCAAGTCAGCGTTTTTTTTGTTTTTTTTTGTTTTTTTTTTTCTTTTTTGTTGAGACAGAGTCTTGCTGTGTCACCCAGGCTGGAGTGCAGTGGTGAGATCACGGCTCACTGCAATTTCTGCCTCCTAGATTCAAGTGGTTCTTGTGCCTCAGACTTCCAAGTAGCTGAGATTACAGACATGCGCCACCATGCTCGGCTAATTTTTTTGTGTTTGTAGTACAGATGGAGTTTCACTATGTTGGCCAGGCTGGTCTTGAACTCCTGGTCTCACGCCATCTCACCTGCCGCAGCCTCCCAAAGTGCTGGGATTACAGGCCACTGCACCCAGCAGCAAGACTTTTTTTTTTTTTTTTTTTTTTTTGAGACGGAGTCTCAGTCTATCGCCAGGCTGGAGTGCAGTGGCGCAATCTGGCTCACTGCAACTTCTACCTCCCAGGTTCAAGCAATTCTCCTGCCTCTACCTCCCGAGTAGCTGGGATTACAGGCACACGCCACCATGCCCAGCTAATTTTTATATTTTTAGTAGAGATGGGGTTTCACCAGTTTGGTCAGGCTAGTCTCAAATTACTGACCTTGTTATCCACCCACCTCAGCCTCCCAAAGTGCTGGGATTACAGACGTGAGCCACCGCGCCCAGCCAGCGAGACTTTTAAATTGAGCACATCTTAAGAAAGAGTGTTGGCCGGGCGCGGTGGCTCACGCCTATAATCCCAGCACTTTAGGAGGCCGAGGCGGGTGGATCATGAGGTCAAGAAATTGAGACCATCCTGGTCAAAATGGTGAAACCCCGTCTCTACTAAAAATACAAAAAATTAGCTGGGCATGGTGGCGCGTGCCTGTGATCCCAGCTACTCAGGAGGCTGAGGTGGAGAATTGCCTGAACCCAGGAGGCAGAGGTTGCGGTGAGCGAGATTGCGCCATTGCACTCCAGCCTGGGTAACAAGAGCGAAACTCCGACTCAAAAAAAAAAAAAAAAAAAAAAAGAGTGTGAGCCAGGTGCTGTGGCTCACAACTGTAATCCTAGCACTTTGTGAGGCCAAGGCGGGCAAATCACCTGAGGTCAGGGGTTTGAAACCAGCCTGGCCAACATGGCAAAACCCTGGCTCTACTAAAAATACAAAAATTAGCTGGGCATGGTGGCTCATGCTTGTAATCCTAGTAACTGGGAAGGCTGAGTGGGAGAATCACTTGAACCCAGGGGCAGAGGTCAGTGAGCTGAGATCATGCCAGTGCACTCCAGCCTGGGTGAGAGAGTGAGACTCTGTCTCAAAGAAAAAAGAGAAAGTGTGCTGGGGCCAGGCACAGTGGCTCATGCCTGTAATCCTAGCACTTTAAGAGGCCAAGACAGATGGAACACCTGAGGTCAGGAGTTTGAGACCAGCCTGACCAACATGGAGAAACCCTGTCTCTACTAAAAATACAAAAATTAGCCAGGCATGGTGGCGCATGCCTGTAATCCCAGCTACTCAGGAGGCTGAGGTAAGAGAATCGTTTGAATCCAGGAGGCTGAGGTTGCAGTGAGCTGGGATTGCACCATTGCACTCCAGCCCGGCAACAAGAGGGAAACTTTGTCTCAAAAAAAAAAAAAAAAAGAGTGTGGGGGCCAGATGCAGTGGCGTACACCTGTGATCCCGGTGCTTTGGGAGGCTGATGTGGGAGGATTGCTTGAGCTCAGCAGTTGGAGGCTGCCATGAGCTATGATCACTGCACTCTAGCCTGTGCAACAGAGTGAGACCTTTTTGAAAGAAAGGAAGTAAAAAGGAGGCTGGATGTGGTGGCTCATGCTTGTAATCCCAGCACTTTAGGAGGCCGAGGCAGGCGGATCACGAGGTCAGGAGTTCAAGACCAGCTTGGCCAATACAGTGAAACCCCGTCTCTACTAAAAATACAAAAATTAGCTGGGTGTGGTGGCAGGCGCCTGTAATCCCAGCTATTTGGGAAGCTTAGGCAGGAGAATGGCTTGAACCCAGGAGGTGGAGGTTGCAGTGAGCTGAGATCATGCTACTGCACTCCAGCCCAGGTCACAGAGTTCGACTGCCATCTTGGGAAATAAAAAAAAAAAAAAAAAAGAAGGAAGAAAAAATGAAGGGAAGCAAGAGGGAAAAGAGGAAGCAGGGGAGTAAAGAGTGGACTAATCAGAAAGGGGCTAGGAATCCTGGAAGAATGAAAAGGCGGAGTCAAGAAAACAATGGCGGGCCGGGAGAGTATTGCCTTGCCAAGGATGATGCCTCCAGCAGCAGACATCCTGGGCTCAGATTTCAGCTCACTCAGTACCCTTGAAGCTATGGCTTCCCAGGTGGCTTTGCAGAGCTGAGGGTATGTGAGGAGCTACTGTTACCAGCATTTTAGCCCACCAGATGGTTCATTCATTCATTCATCCAGCAAGTATTTAGGAGTGAGCAAAACTGACAGAGTAGCCAGGTGTGGTGGCTCAAGCCTGTAATCCTAGCGCTTTGGGAGGAGAAGGCAGTAGGATCACTTGAGTTCAGAGCCTGGGTAACAGAGTGAGACCCTGTCTCTGAAATACATACATATATATATTTATATGTATTTTACATTCATATTTATATTATATATATTTTTAAAAATCAATAGAAATAACTGACAAAGCCCCTGTCCTCAAGAAGTGTATTCTCTAGTGGAGAAAACTGACCACCAAGCAAAGTAGGTAGGATGTTAGCTGGTGATGTGTATGAAGGAGAAAACGAACCTGGAAGGGAGATAGGAGTGTAGAGGGAGGGGTACAGCTTGAGAAGAGGAGGCCAGGGACAGCCTCCTGAGCAGGTGACATCTGAGTGAAGACCTGAAGGAAGTGACGGTGTGACCCATGCAGATAGAGTGGGAGCATCCCCAGAGGAAGGACCAGCACATTCAAGAGCCCTGGAGCAGAAGCCTGCATGTAGCCCAGTGTGGCTGGGGCCAAGCAATCCGAGGGACAGTGACACATGGGAAACATAGGCCAGATACTGAAGGGTCTCACAGGTTCCTATAAGGACTTTTCAATCCCTTGGTTGGATGAGAAGCCTTTTCAGGGTTTTAACAAAGAACAACATAATCGGAGTTACCCTTTTTCTTTCAAAGACCTTATTTTTTATCTTTTCAATTCCTTTTGTTTGTACAAATGTAGCAGGTACATGTGGAATTTTGTTACATGCATTGATTGTATACTGGTCAAGTCAGGGCTTTCAGCGCACCCATCATGTGTGTTGTACCCATTAACTAATTTCTCATCATCCATCCCCCACAGCCCCTCACCCTTCTGAGACTCCTACTCTACGTCCATGTCCACACATTTTTTATTACCCACTTATGAGCGAGAACATGCAGTATTTTGTTTTCTGCACCTGGCTTGTTTCACTTAAGATAATGACCTCCATTTCCATCCATGTTGCCACAGAAGACACAATTTGATTCTTCTTATGGCTGAATCGTATTCCATTGTGCATATGCGTCGCATTTTCTTTATTCATTCACCTGTTGATGGACACTTAGGTTAATTTTATATCTTTGCTATTGGGAATAATGCTGCAATAAACATACAAGTGCGGGTATCCCTTTGATATGCTAATTTCTTTTCATTTAGGTAGATACCCATAACGGGATTGCTGATCGAATGGTATTATTGTTCTATTTCCAGTTCTTTGAGAGATCTTCACACTGTTTTCCGCAGAGGCTGTACTAATTTGCATTCCTACCAACAGCATATGATAGTTCCCTTTTCTCTGCAGCCTCACCAACATCTGTTATTTTTTTGTCCGTTTAATAATAGCCATTCTGACTGGTGTGAGATGATATCTCATTGTGGTTTTAATTTGCATTTTGTTGATGATTAGTGGTGCTGAGTGTTTTTTAGGACTCTACTTTTTAAAGCAGTTTTAGGTTCACAGCAAAATTGAGCAGAAAGTACATCAAGTTCCTGTACACTCCCTGCCCCCACTCCACGCACAGCCTTCCCCGCTGTCAACATCCCCACCAGAGTGGTGCCTCGGTCACGATCCATCTGGTTACACTGGCAGACTCTAATCACTTGAAGTCCACGATTTACAGGAGGGTTTTTATATTAGTGTTTACTCTTGGTGGTGGATGTGCTGAAGGTTTGGACAAACGTCAAAGTTAGGAGAAGTTCACTTCTATTCCTAGTTTGCTAGGAGTTTTTATCAGAATGTGTGTTGGATTTTGTCAAATGCTTTTTCTGGTTTACTTTTTTTTTTTTTTTTTTTTTATGTATCCTCGAACTGTCTCCTAGGCTGGTGTGCAGTGGCACAATCTTAGCTCACTGCAACCTCCGCCTTCCAGGTTTAAGTGATTCTCCTGCCTCAGCTTCCTGAATAGTTGGGATTACAGGCGTGCGCCACTATGCCTGGCTAATTTTTGTATTTTTAGGTTTCACCATGTTGGTCAGGCTGGTCTCAAACTCCTCACCTCAGGTGATCCGCCCTGCTTGGCCTCCCAAAGTGCTGGGATTACAGGCATGAGCCACCGTGTCTGGCCTTTTTCTGGTTTACTTTTTAACAGCTGAACCTTTCCCTCACAAATCAATGCATTTGGATTCAGGGATGTATGTCACAGCCTCTAGGATTGTGATTAATATGAACTCCTCTTGAGAGAGACTCTCACCCTGATCTCTGGGTGCTCATGAAATCAGGTTCGTAGACCTGCCAGGCCAAGTTCTGCATCCTGCCTGCTGTGGTTTCTCTAGAGCAGGCGTCCCATTGTGAAGCCTTAGGGAGAACATCGGCTGTGGCTTCTCAGGATGACCCCCTCGCTGTCATGGAGCAGCGCTGCGGGCTGACCTCACCCCGTGTCTCAGGGCTTTCCATCTGCTTCTACTGATGTCTCCGCTATGTCTGCGCTGAGATCACACACACAGTTTTAGTCCTTGTTGCCGGTGGGTTTTGCTTCTTCCTTCCTTTGAAGAAGGCTGGCAGCCTCCAAAAGCTTCCTCACGGAGCGGCGTGCATGTGGGCATATGTGTGCCGTGTGGTTAAGCTCGGGCAGGATCCCGGCCACATCCCTGAGAGGCAGCAGAGATGGCTTCGGGCCCTCTGTGCAGGGCAGGGGGTTCACTTCCTCTTGAGTTGGAGAACATATCAGCTCAGCAATTCTCACTACAGTGGTGAGAAAAAGGGAAATATCAGTTTCCCAGTGTTAGCAATTACACCACAGCCAGAAATCAGTCCTCCTGATTACAGACTCCTCTAAGGAGGAACTGAAGGCTGCAAGGGCTGCATGGAAACAGTAGCCTTGGGAATAAGGTCATGAGATGGGTCTCTCTTTGTAATACACCAGAAAAACCAACCCTTTATTTTTATTTATTTATTATTATTATTTTTTGAGATGGAGTTTCCCTCTTGTTGTCTAAGCTGGAGTGCAGTGACATGATCTCGGCTCCTGCAACCTCCATCTCCTAGGTTCAAGCGATTCTCCTGCCTCAGCCTGCCAAGTAGCTGGGATTATAGGAGTGTGCAACCATGCCCAGCAAATTTTTAGCATTTTGTATTTTTAGCAGAGATAGGGTTTCACCATGTTGGCCAGGCTGATCTTGAACTCTTGACGTCAGGTGATCCACCTGCCTCAGCCTCCCAAAGTGCTGGGATTACAGGCGTGAGCCACCATGCCCGGTCACCAGCTCTTTCCTCT